TATTTCTTATTAGAGATCACATTCTTGAAGATCCAAAACATATTTCAAAGATCTCTTGATTCAACCACTAAATCAATTCTTAAAAAATTCATCCCAAATATTGTTTTATTGTTTATTGAGCTATAACTTTAGTCAAGAGATTATCCTTTGAAGATCAAATCTATATTCCAATATTTTTTTGCCTTACCTATAGATCAAAACACAGAAGATCATTAGATCATTCACAAAAAATCTTACCTTCATCTATAAGCCTTCAGAGTTCTGAAGTCGGTGAAGAGGCACTTGGAGTTCCAGGGCTCTGAAATGAGTCCATTCTTTGTGATCCACGAGGAGAAAAAAGTAGTTCAGAGTTGTTGGAAAGTGGGATCGCACAATCGAAGAAGTTTCTTTGTGATCAACAAGTTAGATGCTTTGAGTCAGTTAAGGTTTAACAGTGTATGGACTAATTGTAAGTTAACTTTTTAGTGAATTTTACTGGCAACTTTGCTCGAAAGTTTTTGATCTTAAGAAAGGATTTTCCTTTGTGATCATATTTGGTGTTGTTTACTTTGTTGCTTTTAATATATACGTTTATGTGATTGTTTAACATATGGTTAATTGGATCAATAAGCTTAATTATCTAGAAATAATAATTAAGTGACTTGTTGATTGTTATTGATTAATTTCGCATATTTGTGTTTAAATATTTTTCAACAATTTGGACATGTTATTTTGTGATCAAGTATTAGGAAAATTGAAAAGAAACTCATTTAAGCTTAACAAATCAAACATTGAAAGAACATTCTTACTTGTAGTTTACATACTCTGCAAATATATAAACCATATAAAAATATTCACACATATTTAAATTATTGGAATACATAATATTTCAAGTAGAGACACAAAAATTGTACCAATGTCGATAATATATATAGATCAAATCCTGAACGATGAATCAAATTGTGAATTAAAAAATTCATTGAACAAAATCCTTTAATAGACACAAACACAAATTTTTATATAACTGAAAAAATTACCATGAAAAAGAGTTTTGGCCTAATATGGACATACAATCCGAATTTTTTTTTCTTTCAAACAAGAGGTGTATACGTCATTAGTCTGATCCTTTGTAGGAACTACCCGTAATAACGATCTTGCAAAATGGATATGTAAAAAAAAATTTGGAGAACAATAATAATTTCAAGATAGCATAATGATTAAAAAATTCAAATACAAAAAGAGAATTGAATTTTCTTTGACAAGTAGATAAGAAGAAAAGAAATAAACTTAAAAGTATGTAATTTGTTCAATGAGAATTTGAAATCCTGATATTTAAATTCCACACAAAAGATAAAAAAGTAGAATCAAATACGAAATAAAATCACAAAAAAGAACATATCTTGAGGATGATGAAATGAAAATATCAATTTATCAAAGATTGAATTGAATTAACAAAAAATAAGCATGTCAAAAAAATTACTAAATCCCACCACTTCTACAAACAACTTTGCTTACTTAAATCCTTAAAATTGAATTTTTACCCTTTCTTCTTTTTTGTGAACGACAACTTTAAAATATACTACAAAATTCTTACTTTGACGTAAGAAAATTCTTATATAATATGTTTGAATAAAAATATGCCAAAACAAATATAAAAAGTAAAGTATGTATACATATGAATATTATAACACAAAAATCGATGCATAATTTATATTCTTTTAATATATTCAAAATAAAAAATAAAATAAAATAAAAAGCTATTCCTCATTTAATTTATCAAAAGTAGTGATACCTTTAGTCTCTTGCTTTGATATTCCTAAAATCCAAGTAAACTTATTTGATTCATTTTGATTCGATTTGATCTGCTTAAATTTTAAATCATTGAAAATATGCGCTCCTCTTCTAATAATCCCGTGAAAGTCAAAAGGAGATAATGGTAAAAAATTATAAAAATAACGGGTAAGAAATTAGAATAAAAAGCTAGTTCTAAGTTTTATTCCCTTGACAATTTAAGAAATAGGAACATACAATTCCCATGACAGTTAGTCAGTTACCTTGATTTATTTTATAAAAATAATTTTTTGAAAAGAAAAGATAGTGAGAGTGAGAGAAAAGACGGGGGGCGGAAAGTGTGTACAGAAAATGAAGCCGTTGAAATATATTATAAAAAATCATTAAAAAATGAATCCTTGAATTTCTCAAAGCAAAACGCGCAGTGTTAAAAACAAATGATTAAAACCATTAAATGAGGCAAGCATAGCAATTAAATCAGTGTTCTAAAAGACGTAATGCGTGGAGGCCAAACTAAGGCTATGCGAGGATTAGACATAAAAAAAGTGTAAAAAAGACGTTTTATTATTTTAATATTATTTTTATTTTTAATAAATCAAAAAATTATTTAATAATTAAAAATAATATTTACGAAACATGTAAAACAGATTTATAGGAATGTTATACATTTTTTCAAAGTTTCCTTTAAATATAAAATAGTGAATAAATAGTATAGGAACTTAAATCTTATCTAACTTATTATCGGACTCTAATTCAATATTATCTTCTTCATCTAATTCGTCCTCCATGTCTTCCGATACAAGTGGTTGTTTTAAATTAAGGAAAAATGAAGAAATCAGCCGTTGATAATTTTTTAACAACACAAAATTTTAAAAAATAAAATAAAAAAGGATGATAATGCGTGCATAATTGTGTCTAGGCACGCCTTAACGGCCAAATAAGGCGTCAAGCTGAGTGACTTGACGTTTTGACTGAGCATTACGCCTAGGCATCATCTTTTAAAACATTGATTAAAACAAATAATTTAATCAAAGTAAAATGTGCATAACAAAAATAAAATAACAAATGAATGCGTGAAAAATGTCAAGAATATTAAATAAAATAAATAGATCTTAAGGGTAACCAATGGCTAAATATATGAGGATAAAATTCATATTCAAAAGTTTTAATCTATCAATTTATTTAAATAGTGTGGTTATATTGCAATCACAATTTTTGAGTAAATTTAATCAATAATCACTGAACTTTACACTTGATTACTACTTGCTCACTCATCTTTCAAATATTACTGAATGATCACTCATCTTTTCATATAATTACTCATTCACCACTCGTCTCTTCAAATAATTGGACTACTTTTACGGCAAATTTTCGACAACTTCCGACCACAAAGAATGTCGAATTTTGATACCGTTGGAAAGCCCACGATGTCCTCTTCAATTACCACCCAAAATCTCATTATAACTCCCAGGGATTCGATCGAAAAATTGCCTTAAAAGTCGCCCAAAAATTCTGAAAATCTGCCCAGATTTTCAGATTTTTGGGCGACTTTTAAGGCAATTTTTCGGCAACTTTCGACCATCAAAACTATCTAATTTTGATACCATTGGAAAGCCCACAATGTTCTCTTCAATTACCACCCAAAATTTCCCGATAACTCCAAAGGATTCGGTCGGAATAAACCCACAAAGTCAGCATCCCGAACTTTGTCCAGATTTTCGCCTTTTCAAGATGCTGACTTTGTGGATTTATTCCGACCGAATCCTTTGGAGTTATCGAGAAATTTTGGGGGGTAATTGAAGAGGACATTGTGGGCTTTTCAATGGTATCAAAATTAGATAGTTTTGATGGTCGAAAGTTGCCGAAAATTGCCTTAAAAGTCGCCCAAAAAATCTGAAAATCTAGTCAGATTTTCAGAATTTTTGGGCGACTTTTAAGGCAATTTTTCGATCGAATCCCTTGGAGTTATAATGAGATTTTGGGTGGTAATTGAAGAGGACATCGTGGGCTTTCCAACGGTATCAAAATTCGACATTCTTTGTGATCGGAAGTTGTTGAAAATTTGCCGTAAAAGTAGCCCAATTATTTGAAGAGACGAGTGGTGAATGAGTAATTATATGAAAAGATGAGTGAGCATTCAGTAATATTTGAAAGATGAGTGAGCAAGTAGTAATCAAGTGTAAAGTTCAGTGATTATTGGTTAAATTTACTCCACAATTTTTATTTCATGCACCACATTTTAGTTGCAGTTAAGTCCTTCAATTTTTGCTCATTGTAGCAATTATTTCATTAACTTTTTTTGTCGAATTCTTATCATCAACATTTCATTAATTAATATGTTTCATCCTAGATGATGATTTACATTAAAATATTTTGTTATCATGTTTAAAATGAGGGAAAAACATGTTTTTGTATATTTTATTTATTTATTTATGAAAAATATAATGAAAAAATAAGTTGTTTTATACAATTTTAATAATTTTTTGGACATAAAATTATTATCAAATACAAAAATGTGATAAATAATGATAAGTTTGAGAATAAGAATGACATGGAAAATTGTAAGAGATAGAAGTGTTATAATGAACAAAGATTAGGAATCTTAGATGCAATTAACATGTGGTTCAAGAAATAAAAATTGTAGTGTGAATATAATTACTGTTTTAAATATTGTAGATTGTAGATAGATTATTATCTTTTGAATTGTACTGAATTATTACTAAATAAAGAATACTTATCCATTCATGATAATGAATGAGAAATATATGTATTTGCTAAGAATTAAGCTACTCAAACAGTGAATTTTGACAAAGAATGTTAATAGAACGGAAGTGGAGATTTGTGATTTGCCTTCTTTTTAATTTTTTTCAAATGAATGCATGTCAAGTATCATTCGTCAAAATTCTCTGTTTGACTAGCATGATTAATTTGTAAACGGCATCATTGACTAATTAGATTTGGATTTTTTTAAAAATGTATATTTTTAAATATTTTGTTGGTTGGTTCAATTTCGATTCGGCCTCGATTCAACTCTTTGATCCATTAACTTTTTTCAGATCAATGATTTTCGAAACATTGATCTTACGCAAATATCTGTGTGACCATTTGTGTAAGGTAAATTAATTTAAGTGACTAAATGGTTTAAAAATAATTTTTATGATCAACTTGAGAGTTAGAACAAACTTTAGTCACCATCTCTGAAATTAATTGAAATATATGCATCTCTCACCGTCTTCTCAAAACCGATTTCGAACCCACAACCAGAGTTGAAGAAGAAAGAAGGAAAGATAAAATGAGTGAAAGGACAGTACCCAGAAGGGAGAGTCCATGGGGTATGCCTGAGGGAGATCACCGGCAACCAAAACCCCACAGATGCAATGACCGCGCTGAAGATGTTATACAAGTAAGGATTACTAAAATTAAATCCTTCCTTAAACCCTTAATTTCTATGTATGTTCCGTTTTTACAGCTATCTGTCTGGTATTAGTATGGTGCCAACCAATTTGATGAATTCTCACTGTTGATAATTGTGCTACGGTATGCTTTAGGGAGTTTAAATTTCCAATTAGATATTTAGATTTTTCATTTTGACATAGAATCCTCGAATATATTTGTAAATATTAATAATGGTGCAGAGTGAAGATTGTGGTTTGGATATGCTTTATACCTGCCGAAAATATTTATAAATGCAGGATGTGAGTGGCATGTTTGCAGGAGTAAAGATAAAGAACGATTCTGTATAGCCACCTCTGTTTACTTTAGCCAAACAGCTGGCGAAAGACTAAAGCTCTATATCTTAGTTATTAGAAAAAGAAAAGCAAGGCTAAAGCTCTATGTTCTAGTACTAGATAACATGTCTGGTATTAGATCCATAAAATAAATTGGGACAGAGGAAAGGAAATTGTCTAGGAAGAAGCAGATTCTCATTTGAAACTTCTCAAGCTGGGATTCAAATTCGTTTGGAACTCAGTATTATTAGTTTCATCTGCGGACTTGCACTTCATTTCCTTGATACTGATAATGATAGTGTTCAATATGAACTAGGGCTGGACATGGTCTGGTTCGGTTCGGTTCCCTTAAGAACCGAACCAGACCCAAAATTTTCGGGTACTTAGTAATTGGAACCATCGGGTCCAAATTTAATTATGGAACCGTTCGGGTTCGGTTCCATTCGATTCGGTTCGGTTCCGTACCATAATTACATTTTTTTAACATTTACAACACAACATAAATACAACTAATAATATGTTGAGTCATAGCTTTTACAAATTAACAAAGTCCCATTAAAAACATATAAGTAACATGTTGTCCAGTGACATTAATTTACCAATGTATACATATATCAAAAAGTAAATACTAGTATTAAAATATCGACAATTCATATCAATAATTCCCTTGCTTCAACCTTCAAGCCTTCAAAATCAAGTCTACATAAAACAATTGAATATGAATTAGAAGTCATAGAAATAAAATATTTTTAAGTATTACTAATACTTACCAACTATTTGATTAATCATCAATTTCTTGAGTTGCCATACGAAGAAACTCTACAGAAAAATCGAAAAAACACGATTAACAAACATAAATGAACTAAAAATTGTTCAACTAATAAGATTTAATAAGAAAAATAAAACATATATTTTATTACCTGTCTTAATGCTCTCATAGAACTCTGTCTCTTCAATGCAAATTCTATCTTCGGAAACTCTCAAAAGTCTAGATTCTTCCATTAGCCAGTTTTGTGTACAAATCAAGGCCTCAACTGTTTTAGGAGTTAAAGAACTCCTAAATGGGTCAAGAATGCGCCCTCCAGTACTAAATGCTGACTCAGAAGTCACCGTAGATACAGGAATGCAAGAACATCCCTTGCAACTTTAGATAAAAATTCAAACCTTGAACTGTTGATCTTCCACCATTTTAAAATGTTAAAGTTTTCATCAGTAGCATCTTCAGTAGGTTCCATTAGATATCGTTGTACCTCATCTTTTCCAGAAAAATCCATTTTGCTAGTTTTCATTTTCTTGTACCCAAAATCAAAATTACAATCATCCCAATCATCATCATTATCTGAACCCTCCAACAAAGTGACTCCATCATTATATTCATTGCCACCACTTCCACTTCCACTAGCTCCATTCTTTGAACAATGACATCCCTTGTACTGGTTATACAAAGCATACAATATTTTCATGACCTCAGTTTTTGTGGCTTCAACCTTAACAGAGTCATACAAGATACCAATACAATGTACAACAAACTCCAACTTATAACGAGGATCAAGCACAACTGCTACAATCAAAATCTTGTTTATTTAACGAGGATCAAGCACAACTGCTACAATCAAAATCTTGTTCATTTTATCAACATTACCCCAATACTTGTCAAACTTAATCTTCATGTTGTTTGCTATGCTACTTAGCAAATAATCTTGTTTGTCACCTATTTTTTTCAAAATTTGCTCAATTTTACACACTTCTTGGAAGTAAATATTGGAAGTAACATTCAATGAAGCACTAAACTTCAATGTGACATCATAAAAGGTTCTTAGAAACTTGGCAAATTTTCTAGCTTTCTCCCAGTCATAACTCGTAGGCCGCCCCTCTTTTTCTTTTCCACCTTCATTCTCGTCAAAATATTTATAATAAAATCCATCCTCTTCCTCCATTCTAAAAAAACTGTGACTACCATATAATTGATGTTTTGAATTGATGTCCAACAATCAGTGGTTAAAGAAATCCTTTGTCTATCATTAATAAATTTAATCCTCAATGATTCCTTTGTTTCATGGTAGAGATGTAGCACATCTCTAGCAATCATTTTTCGACAAGGAACCTCAAATCTAGGACAAAGTTGATGAACAAATTCTTTAAAACCCACACCTTCCACAAAGGAAAAGGCCAATTCATCAATAATAATCATCTTAACCAATGCTTTCCTACAGTTTTCTTTATTAAATACCATTGCCGTAATACCACCATCATTGTTTTCTCGAGTGAGTATTGTTTGGTTGTCATCAAACGTAGTGCTCTTATATGCATAACAAATTTTTAAATGCTTCCACATGCTAGAAGTTCCACTATTAGTATCAGCCTTAAATGTTCTCTGACAATAATTATATTTTGATCTTTCTCCATCAAGTATCCTAGTGAAATGATTCCATATTTCCGACCTCTCATTAGGCTGTTTTTTGTCTCCCATTTGAGCACCCAAAACTGGTAGGAAAATATAAAGAATAGCTTTATCCCATGTTATAAAATACAAAGACAAAACACCATACACAATGCAAATCCCATACACAATTAAAAGACCATACACAAAACACGGCAGCTTGATATGGTATTTATCAATCACAAAACAGTGAAACACCATACACAATGCAAATCCCATACACAATTAAAAGACCATACACAAAACACGGCAGCTTGATATGGTATTTATCAATCACAAAACAGTGAAACACCATACACAATGCAAATCCCATACACAATTAAAAGACCATACACAAAACACGGCAGCTTGATATGGTATTTATCAATCACAAAACAGTGAAACACCATACACAATGCAAATCCCATACACAATTAAAAGACCATACACAAAATTTCAGCAATCTATATTTAAATGTTTCAGGACTCTCATCAAATTAGAGTCCTAAATTGTTGTATGAAGCAAGTCTCCAAGGTAGAATTGTAAAAATTAATCAATAACAGAGATGGAAGTATGATTGAAATAATGCAATAACCACTAATGGGGCAAATCCCCCTCTCCCACTACTTGGATGGGGGATTGCTAGGTAAACGTAACTAGTCAAATTGCAGTCTTTCAGTTAAAAGAAAAAATTGCAACAGAGATAAAAGCAAAATTTACTGATCACTTAGGGAGAGAGTTTGGTGATTAATATGAAATCTGCCATCAGTTTGCAGTTTGCTTGTACAATGTTTTGACATAAAATTCTCGCAAAATGAACTATTCCTTGCAACTTGGCACTTTGAACGTGGAAAATGAACTATTTTCACCGTGACCTCAAATTGCAGATCTAGACACCATTACAGTGCACTTCTATGAATCTAATAATATACTCATTTTATCATGGAATTCAATTCCCTGCAATTGCTAGCACCTAGGAAAATAAATATTTACAGCTGCGTTGTAACATTCAACATCTAAAATTGATAGCAAAGCAAGTAATGGTTGGAGGTCTCACCTTTGATGGGGTTTCGACTTTTGGAGTTTAGGTTCACTGCTTCGAATCGATGGCGACGCTGGGGCTGAAGTGTTGATCGGAGAGAATGGAATTCGTCTTTGCCTCTTTGGAACCGAACGCACTGGTTAGGGCTGGAGATTGAAAATTACTAATAGGGTTAGGGCACTTGGGAATTGAGGGAGTGAGCGTGGCTGCGGTTACTGGTTAGGGCTGGAGTGGAGATTGAAAATAACAAGTGGCCAAGTGGGTACTAAATTACTAATAGGGTTGGGTTAAGTGGGTACTAAATTAATAATAGGGTTGGGTTTTTTTAGTGACATTATTTTTGTATGTAGTTTTATTACTAGTTTATAGTTTATACTTTATGGGCTTAAATGCTGGATGTTGGGCTTAAAAAAAATTAAAAATGAAATAAATAATTGGGCCAAAAAAATTAGATTTAGAAAAAATTAAAATAATTTGATTTATTCAATATAAAAAATAAAAAAATAAAAAAATTCGGTTCTTATTCGGTTATTCGGTTCTTGGCCTAGAACCGAGAACCGAACCGTACCCGTCGGTTCTCGATTCGGATACCCGTTCGGGTATTTAAATTTAGAAGAACCGTCGGGTTCGGTTCGATTCGGTTCGGTCGGTTCGGTTCGGGAATTTTGTCCAGCCCTAATATGAACTATAGAGAATTTTGTTATGTTGATATAGTGTCCTCAGCTGACCATGATATGTTAAATATTTGGAAAAGAGTCAGTATAAATCTTATAAATATTTACACTGTTGCACATGAAGAAAGAGATCAAAAAAGGAATTTGTCATTAAGTTGTGACATGTATGACAACTGTCTGAATCAACTGAAGGACTTATTTGCCTCTTTGATGAGAGCAAAGTCTGGTCGTCAGGCCATAAATGAGTTTTTTCCCCCCTAGCCATTTTTTTTCCTGAAGTATTTTTGGCTCTGATGCTTTGAAGTGATGGGAAAATATATAGGAATGGATAACAGAAATGCTCTTTCCCATATATGAGAAAAAAATAAATTCTTCCTTTTCTCCTTAATGTTTTTTGATAAGTGTAGTTTCTACACTTATTTGGGATCCTAAATGATGATATTTTGTTATTCTTTGAACGAATTAGTACCTGATTTGTTATTTATTTCTTTTATTAGGAAAAGTTCATGTTTCAAAGAAGAATTGGAAAAAAGAACGAAAAATGGTTAAATGAAGCAAATCCAAAGTATGGGGACCAAAGTGTAAATATTTAATGGTTGATGTGGACCACAGAAGATACTTTGAAGATTGATAGGAGTCAATAGAATGCAAATTGGAGTAAAAAAGGAAAGGGATATGGTTAGAATATTATCATAAATCGACTTCAAATCATATAAGATATTTTCAAAATTTTTGGTCAACTTGAAACCCATTTTTCGGATGGAGAACGTTTGAATTGGAAAAATTGTATTTCTAGAAGAATTGTAGCTCTTTTAACTAGCTTTCCAATGCACTTTGAATCACCTAAATCGAACACTAAAAGAGAAAGTTATGATCAAATACTGAAAGCTGTGCAGAGACAAAATTTCGCGCGCGCGAAGGCAACTTTCCTTATTTGATTCAAACTCTTTTGGAAGACAATTTGGACATGAATTTTGACCTAATTTCATCATATAAATACAAGATATGGGTAGCAATGAAAGAGTCTCTCCCTTGCCTCTTCGTACACAATAGTTTTATCAAATCCATCAAGAACAAGGGGCCAATTGCTATATTTTGAGAGAAAAGATCAAGCCATGGCAAGGAATTGAAGTTCAATTACATCAAGTTTTTGAAGAATTCAACTTTGGACGTGAAGATCAACATCTTTTGTATTCTTTCATGATCCGGGTGATATTTTTCTATTATTCTTCTTGTAATTTATATATTAATATGCTAGGCTAGTTTTTCATTGTATTGGATGAATGATGAATCCTATCATTTGTTTATTTTAATTCAAGACAATTAATTTAGTATTTCATGATTTTTTCTTGATTGGTTTTGCATTTCCATTGAACTATTTAATTGCTTGATCACCAATTAGATACTAAGTTGCTTGTTGTAGTATAGGAATACTCACAATAAGTTTAGAATGCGGTAAAATCAACACATGGACAATAGGTGTTAGGAATAATATCTATGGCATGTGCAATCTTATGTGATAAATTTTGTGAATCAATGCATTTTTTTCATATAAATTCGGACTAGGAATAAGATCGAGTTGTGTTAGACATAGGTTTAATATATCTTGAAAAAGAATATTGAATAAAAGTGGATTATCGATTGTCTTGAATGCATGAATTTACTAGATTATAAATTAAGAGTTGAATTAACTGACAATAGGGGGATTCACGATTCCAATACAAATATTCATATATTAAATAAATATTTTATTTGCTTTCTTAGTTTAAGATTAGCATAGAAAACATACAAATCACAACTTTTTTTGATTTTATATTACTTCGAATTTAGTAAAAGCTACTTAACTAAATATTAGACCTTATTTCTCGTGGGAACGATACTCTTAATTCACAAATTTTATTACTTGTACAACGATCCCGTACGCTTGCGGGTTTCACACGAACGTTTTTCTTCAACCTTTTCAAAATTGATTCTTTATGTTAACAGAAATATAAACAGCTGATTACTCCACTGTTCTTTTCAGCTTCGCAAATAGTGCTGATTCTATCAAAGATGATATATTTTCTATCTTTCCTACTTTTGTGCCCTTGTACCTGTTGGGTAACAGAGAAACAGTTTTCTTATAAATATTGATAGTATTTTTTATATTTGAGTGTCTTCATGTTGAGCATCTATGTTCCAATTGATTCTGAGAACACTTCTACCGAGCTGCTTTAGTAGGACATTTATTGAGGATAGATCTAATATTCTTGCGGAGATAGTAGACCTTTACCCATAACAAGTGAGTTCTTAATACATTGGGATGCTGATAAGAGGTAGGATGATATATCACTGGCTCCATTCCTTGACAAGGAGCAGTGCTGCTCATTCAACATCATGCCAATTGTTGGATTTTATGCGCAATATTAAAGAGATGAAAAACGGAAATCAACAAAAGAATTTTA